GGAGTGAAGTTTACAAAGGGAAATTGCTAGCCACCCAGCTTCTTACCCTTCAGTTATGTTAGATGACAACCCTCTGTCTGGGGATTATGGGGTTGGTAGGCTTACAGATCTGGAGAGCCACATAAGCAATTTATGTCACAAAACACATGTTAGTCTTTAAGATCCCAAATACTGTTTGTTATTTTTTGCTATCCATCTGAAAAATTTCTGTCAGCATATTTTCTGTCAACCATTTTTATATATCACAGAATTATTTTCTGTGTTGCTGTTTCTAAGCTTTACACAGTTGTGTTTAATTGTAATGTTTAGTTGTTATTGTAGTACTTAGTTTGGTGACTGAGGGCCAAATAGATCTCTCTGGCACATTTCCACAAGATCTTAAAAATTTCCTGGATCTATAAAGAAATATAAAACCAGTTTTCTATCATAAATTAACAATATCTCTGACTGACTGACTGACTGACTGACTGACTGACTTGTTTCTTTCTCACTTATTCTTCTATTTGACAGCCAGGCATACTCCATTCTGCCCCATTATTCCTTCAAAAGATAAATAGATTTCTATTCTGTTCTATTCCACTCACACACATGCTCATGTACAATACAGTAATAAGAGTTCTAGGATTCTTTTAGTGTTGTGAATGGGTCTCCCCCTTTGCACTTCTACCGGGACTACTCTGGGACTACTGTTATTATAATTCTCCATTTTAACATGATGCTACTGATGGCTGCTTCAAACATCAATTCTATACACATAACTAACACCAAATTTGCCCATATTGGAGGTAGGGAGCAAATTCTTCAGCTTTCAAGTATTTCCAAAAAAAATAGCTAATTAATCATACAATCCTAGAGTTGAAAGGTGCCATCTAGGCCATCTGATCCAAACTTTGCTCAATACAGGAATCCAGATTAAAGCATAAGAACAGTTGGCCATCCAGCCTCTGTTTGTATACATGCAGTGAAGGGGAGCTCATCATTTCTCTAAGCAATTGGCTCTACTCTCAAACTCCTGTTACTATTAGATATTCTCCCCCTAACATTCAACGGGAATCTGTCTTCCTATAATTTAAAACCATTATTCCATGTTCTGCCCTATGAAAATAGTGCTTGGCATTATTCTATGTGACATCTATTCACCTCATTTTCTTTCTTAGAATAAACATTCTCAGTTATTTGAATTTCTCTTCATAAGATTTAGTATTTTTGTCTCCAATATTCTTCATTTCTGTTTTTGAACTTGCCCCAGTTCATCTGAATACTTTTTAAAGTATTGTGACCAGAACTGGACCCAATCTTTAAAAAAGGGTTTGGCCCACACAGGATAAAGTGAAATTATTACTTCCTGTGATTTAGAAATGATACTCTTTAGATGCATTCTTCTTTGCTGTCATATCACACTGCTTACTCATAATTTAGTTTGCAATAAACTACTATTTCAAGATCTTTCTTACAAATAATATTGCCAAATTAGTTATTCTCACTATCTAGCTGTGCATTTCATTTCTGTTTTTAAGTGAATACTTTTGTACTTTATCCCTGTTTCATTCTTTTCAGTCCATTCCTCTAATCTATCAAGATCATTTTGAATTTTATTACCATCTTCTTGGGTATTAGCTATTCCTCTTAATGTTGTCTATACTATATCATCTGCAATGATAAACTTCCCCATCCTCATTATCAATATTTTACTTGATAAACTTAATAAATCTTAGAATTCATTGTGATACATCCCTGGTCCATGCTCCTGTCATGCAGCATACTTAACTGATAGGTCTGGTCAACACATATTTATTTCTATTCCTCATAGTACTGAATCACCAATAACCACAACTGTTTTGTCTCCTTGCCAGATGCAGCTTGGTTCTTCAAGGAGGCTCCATCCCATTTCCTATTCAGCAACATCTTTTTTTCCTCCTTTGAAAGCTCAGAGGCTCTTTCTTTTGCAAGAGTATGAAATCTGTTTCTGAATTCCAGTGGTGCAGATATCCAGGTGTCTCTGGATATCACTGTTGTCCACTCATGTTATTAAACAAGCACTCGTTTTCATTATCTGCTTTATGGAGAACTGCTTCATTGTCAGTTCTTGTTCAATGTGTCTTTATTGGATCTATACTGTCTGATGAGCTGAACTGTGTCTACTTCCTATTCCAATTCTTGTGATTCTTCTTCAAAGCCTGTTCCAAGCTTGGGCTTTCTACAAATATGTGATAATTTGTTTTCAGAAGAGCATCCAAGCATGCCAATCAATGTGTATAGCAAGTCATGTTCATTCACCTTCACTGCTGTCTCTTGAGGCCTCACCCACCAGTAGAAAGGCTATTTCTGTTTGTTTTCTCAAGCTGTCAAGTTAGCTAAGTACCTGCGGTCCATCAGAGATCAACATTTTTATGGACTTCTTAAACTCCATGTTCATACTCATGTTAGCTCTGTTAGTTTGCTTTGATATTGGTTCCAGAAAGTGCCCTACCACAAAGTTTTATGCTTTGAGGAAGAGGCCTCTGACTTCTGTGTATGCAGAAATCTCCTACTGAGGGTAGGGGTGGCTGGTGAAACCCAAAAATATGTTCTGTGGCTTGGAAATTTGCGAAACTGTTGTGAGCAGAGTCGTGGTTAAGCCAAAATGAAACCTGGAACTTTCTGGCTGAGACAAATCTGGAAGGGTCTTACAGAGTGAATAGAGCAAGGCTGGTACACCTTACTCCTCTCTTACTTCCTCTTCTACACTGAGTGCCAGCCCACATCCCAATCTTCCCACTGCCTTCCTTCTCCTTCCCTCCCATGCTTGAATTCAATAAAGGCATTCCCAATCAGTCTGCCCACCCATTCCCCAATCTTCCCATGCCTTCCTTCTGCTTACCTCATTAGCTGCCACACTTGAATTCAGGTGCAATATAGCCAATCAGCTTGTCTGATCCTCCCCCTTTTCAGTGCCTTCCTTCAACCACCCCAGTGGCCTGGCCTTTTCCCAATGTTTCCCACCTTGGAACACCTGTCTGGAACACACATATTTTGAATCCAGGCCTGGATTAAACATATATTTCAACCCAGGCATGGAACTTCTACACATCCTTATCTCCTAGGATGGATGATCAGTGTAATGATGTACTCCAGTTCTGAGCATGAGACACTCAGGCCCAAGTTTTTGATAAAGGTCAATAAAGGTCATAGGCAGTTCAGAGCAACATTTTTGAGGCCAAAAGAGCCATTTCAACCAGATACTTAATTCAGCGGTGAAGGAAAAATCCCATTCCTATGGCAAATTAGTTCAACAGTTGAACTGAGTTGTACTTTCATCTTTCAGTGACACATATTTATAGTCACGTGTATATCCAATTTTTATTCATGTGTACATTTGTACCACAATGTTTCCACTTCTTTTTGACATGGCAACTGAAATTACCACACATAGAGATGACTGAACACACGCTTGCCTTTCACGCCAATTTTTAAATAACATGGTGATTCATGTGTGACCCTTGCCTCTGTGAACAATGTTGAACCCTAGTTGTTTAAAACTGTGAATTGACCTGGTATTCTCAAATAAATAGCTTTTATTTGACCAATTAAGATAATACATCTGTTGTAGGTTTGATTTGTATTTCAGAATGCTTAACACCATGATACATTGAAATACCTTATGTGGAGTATAATTCCAGTTCCAGGAATAATTCAAGGAAGTTGACAAATCAAAAAAGAGTGTGGGCAGAGCTACAATGATAATAAAATATCTGCAAGGCAAATTACATTAACAGAAGTTGCATAAACTTTGCATGTTTTGCCCGCTGGAAGAAATCCTAGGAGATGTAAGTTTATAGCTTTCAAAATATTTATAATGATGTCAAAAAGAAAAAGGAGAAACATTTGTTCACTATTGCTGCTGCTGCTGCTGCTGGGATAAAAAGCAGAAAAGAGCAAGGGTGGATTTGCAAACAAGCAGTTCTTCTTTCTCCCCTATTTTATCGACTCTTCCAGTAGAGAGCTGTTTGGAAAGGAAAGGTTAAAATATCTCTACTGTATAGTCACTTGCATTAATCACACAAACTGGGGATGAGAAACAAAACTGTTGCTATTTCAATTGTATATGCACACTTAGATGGAAATAAATATCATTGAATTCAGTATGGCTTATTTCTAGGAAAAGATGCTCAGGGAGATTTCCAAGTTTGGAAGAGAAAATTTGAAAATCCTAAAGCTGTTGAGATGCTGGTCTAGGGGCCATATGAATGTATCCTAAACTAAATAGGAATGATTTGTGAGGGAAAGAGGGATCCTAACAAAGGGTCAGTCTACATTTCCCCTTAAATCTCAGATGGAAACAATAGAACAAATAATGTGATGGCATTTTCAGCTACTTTCAACGTAAGTTTTCCTAAATGTGACTAAAGGGAACACTGAATTTTAGCCTCCTTCCCTTTCCCCCTATTATTCAAACATAGAAATGCACCAGATCCAACCCCCCACCCCCACCCATTTATTCAAGCAGTAGGGGAAGCTACCGTGCGGATTTCCAGGGGGTTTATTGAATCCCACGGAAAGGCGCTTTCAGCTTACATCGAATATAAAAAGAAGCATCGTACTGATCTGGGCCGATCCATCACCAACGTGGCCCGGCTCTTTTCTCATTAACTGTTTATTTATTTACTATATTTTTGTACCGCCATGCACCAGAAAGATTTCTAGCGGTTCTTCCACCGGGTCCTTCATAAACATGAGAAGGCAGCAGGGGTGGCTTCGCTGCAAAGTAAAATCCTCATTTGCAGATCGAAGGAAAACTAGCGGTAGCGGTCAAGCAAAGGCAGAAAGAGAACCGCAGGGACTCGGCGGAGCCTAACCTCACGCGCGGAGTAGAATGGAACTGAATGGGAGGCGGGTCATGTGACTCGCTGCCGCGCCGGGATGTGCACGTGCATCCTTGCGATGGGCAAAGGGAGGGAGGAGAGGCTTCGGAGAGGTCACGTGTCTCTCCCGGCTCTCCTCCTCCTCCTCCCCCCCAGCTGCGGAGCCAGCCAAGCAGCTGGCTGGGAGGGCTTCCACCACCGTCCAGCGACTGCCGCAGCGCAGCTGGGAAGAAAGGGGAAGGGAGAGGCCGCCGGCTCCGGATCGATCACCGGGTCCAAGCACGGCCTCAGGGGGATCGATGGCTAGCCCGTCCTGCTCGTGAGGCACGCGGCGCGGTGGCGCCTTTGGAAGTGCCGCGAAGCCAGCATGTGGACTGGGTAGGAAGTCTGAGTCTGCAGTGAATTTCCGACTGGGGTGGCGGTGATGATAATAGTGGTACTTTCTGTGTCTTTTGTCCTGTCGGTTTCTTCTTTCCATCTCTGGCCAAAACCCCCGTAGTCTGCTTTTGGAGGCAGGGGCGGAATCCAGAGATGGGTCCCCGAGCGCCGGCTGGGGGAAGCTCGATTCTGGGATGACTAGAGGGGAGGGGATGCGTTGTTAGCTGGCTTGCATTTTGCAGATAAGAACTTGGGTGAGTCTGATTACAGAGAATAGTCCCTCCAAGACAGTTCCGTGGCTGACGTGTAATTGGAATGATTGTGCACCGCGGCCAGCAAGGAGTCTAGGTTTGAACTGGTGTAAGGCACAGTTGGAGTAATCCAATTTTACGCCATAAAGCAGAATACTCTGCTGTATTCCAGAGGTGCTTCGACCACGACTCCCAGAACTGCAGAATCCTCATCTAGTTGGGGGTTCTGGCGCCTGCAGTTCCAGGACCTCTGATAAGCTCCGGGTTTGAAAATGGCAAAAGAGTTGCTTTCTGAAATTCCAGAAATTCCTGTGCAAATATACCCAAATATATCCTGCAGGTATATGAAATACCTGTCCAAGAACTGACAACACTAAGATGGGTTCGGGTGGGGGGTGAGTGGAAGTGCCCATGCACTTCCAGGTTTGGGGAGGTGGAGAAGGAAACATTCAGGAAGCCTCTGAGCCCATCTGGCTACCTGATTGTCTGCCCTGCTCCCTCTGCTTTCTCCTCTTCCTTGTCCCCACTACTTCACAACCACTACTGCCTCCTATTCCTTGTACCAGCCAGCCAGCCAGTCAAACAACATGGAAAGAAAGTGCTCTGCTGGCCATCCAACTATTCCTGTACAACATTTTAAAATGCCTGGCTGCAATTTCAGCCGCTGGTTGACATGTGTCCTTTTGTGGAGCCCCAGAAGTACACCTCAGAGTCTGGCCTTATTGATGCCTCTGTACACAAGAATCGATGATAATCACTTTAGATCAGTGTTTCTCAGCCTCATCAAATTTAAGACATGTGGACTTCAACTCCCAGAATTCCCTAGCTGGCATGCTTCCTGGGAAATTCGGGGAGTTGAAATCCATGCATCTTAAATTTGATGAGGTTGAGAAACATTGCTTTAGATCCAAAATCACTCTCCCCCAGAGATCCAGTTCTGCACACTGTAGAGAAAGGTACAGTACTTCTTTTCAGTGTCTCTAGCTAAAGAGTATTCTCATGAGCTGAAAAAAGGGGATAAAGGGAAGATCAAAGGTGGGCTGATGATATTGCCCGGATGCTCAGTGCCCTTGAAAATATTCAGGGGGAAGCAGTCAGAGGTTCTTTTGGCATAATAAAAGACTGGTATTGGCATCTTTACGGGACAGAATTTCAATGTATAGGCAGCAGAGCTTTATTGCAAGCTTCCAGAAGCAAGCAGCTTTGGCATATCCATATCTTCATGCTCAGGACTGTAAAGGAAGAATTAAAGTCAGTGTGAAACTATTTAGGGCAGTGTTGTCCAAACTTGGCCACTTTAAGATGAGTGGACTTCAACTCCCAGAATTCCCCAGCCAACCATGCTGGCTGGGGAAT